TTAAGACCATTTCAGTGATTATTGGATCGCAAGGTATTAAGTTATATTAGATAATTGCTGTGGTTGCGCGCCAAAGAGACGATAAAACTTTCTGTAAGTGTACTCCTAATTTTGGTTGTAATACTGAGGCTTCTCTGCGACTAGTCCTTTATCTTCAACGTTCAGGAATACTACGCAACTTCATTTCTAACGCATACAATGCATGACGATACAATAGAAGGTGACATCAGTTTTGTTTCTATTCCAATCTGTTATCGCCTACAATTAAATTATAATCAACTATGTATGATAAAACATATATTCATCCAATTCCACTGGTATCCCGGCACGAGGATCTATTTCTCTGACCGACATCTTCTAAACAGCCTTAGGCGTGTATGCTTCTTACACATTTGCACTACTCCCCTTTTTGAACTATGTAAATATATATATAAATGCTCTTTCATCACTTTCACTTGAAATTCTTGAATGAAGAAAACTACTCGAACACCATTCATAGAACGCCGATATGGCATCGAAGACAAATTTTTATTTATACTATAACACGATAAATGATGAAATCTATTAAATATATCTATATATTAAATTGTTATTATTAATATTGAATATATTAAATGAAATTCATAACACGATGAAGCTTCTTAGAAAAACGCGAAATGTATTTTAATTCGAATCAATAATTTGTAAAATTGTATTAATAAAGTAACTGAAGCATGATTTTGTCTATAAAGATAATTGTCTTTTATTAATCCTGTTACATAGTAAAGAGTTAACGATTCTGAAACATAATTATCAAGGTTTATTCGCTACTTCCTACTGCATTACTATTTCTAAACTCTTCAGCTTCAAAAATTGTTTACCCTTACTCTTTCTGAATGAAAAATTTGATAAAAATATGAGCACGACAGCGCATTTCTTTGGTAGGAAAAATATTGAATTTAAAAAAATGTATGTATATGGTTAAAGTAACTCATAATTGCAACACATACGTACGAGGTAATTTCTTGTACACAAATCTCAAAAAGTATTAATATATAATACACGAGTACGTGTATCTACGATGAAAAAAATGTTCTTCCCACGGTTCCACAATCTACAAGTGATTTTTTATACTATTTTTACAACGTATAATACACAATGACCGTGTTCAATTATTATACATTGAAACATAAAACGAAAATCATATCTGACACCCAGGATCAAAAAGATACAGTCTCTAACGTTCAAATATTATAATTTGCTACGACAAGACTGCGGATGTTTATGCAAATTCATATTATCACAGATGCAGAAGAATAAACGAAAGTATGTTTTATCTAAACACTATAACATGTATTTTAAATATTCATGGATTTATGGACCTTCCCATGAATTTCCCCATATTTCAGTCTGCCATAAATGCATAAACATCCGCAATCCAGCTATGACCTTTACCTCGTTAACAATTTTACTTGTGCCACGAATTTCATTAACTCGAATCATAAACCTTCTACGAACATTTTCCATCCAATGACCGTACTACGAATAATAACTCGGGCACGCATCCTCAGCCTTCTTTTGTTTTCGTCTGCATTTTTTTTATAATCATGTGATTATTAATTCCATGCTACAATTTCTCCCTGCTTCATCAATAATTATGGGACGAACTTCGTAAACTTTCTAATCAACCTTTACTCGTTCGCGTGAGAAAACGTATTCGCGTGATTACGAGGAACCGACGAGGAGATCGGCCGAGTATAATTTAAATGAAAAGAACGAATCGCTTCGATTTACCATTTACCAAAGTTCACACCCTTCGATCGGTCGAGAGAGGTACAGACTACCGGCAACATTCCGGCAGCAACCGTTCGCGTAAAACGTAGTAGAACCATACCTGGCTAGTATTGTCCGTAACCATTGTGCTTTACAGGAGATTTGACACTATTCCTCCCAATTCTTACACCTGTCCAGGCGGTTGCCGGGCACGAAAAGTTTTTTTTTTCCGGTACACGTTAAATCACCATTCATGCGCTTCTGGAGTAACGCTAAAAGCAAACAGGGGTATAGGAGTCGCCCCCGTACGCTGACTAAGGCGCAGAATCGAGCGGCAACGATTACGGGAAAAACAGGGGTTGCACCGTTGCCTTTCTCACCCTTGTTGTACCTGTCCCTGTCCCACCCGCCCCAAGTTATACGGTTTATCATTCTTTCTCATCCATGTGCGCAAGCGCCTATCAAACTTGACGGTACATTCTTCTTACGTTTCTGTTCTGTCTCCCTCTTTCGCAACACGAGTGCACGTAAGATTAATCGGGTTCTAACCGTGCGCAAATTATCAACGGGGCAAACGTTATCGCGAGTAATTATGAATATGGCTGACGGACATTGTCCGGCGTTTAGTGTTTCTGAGAGAGACAGGTTTGAGAGGGTTCGATGATAGCTTGAAATTGGACGAATAAACGAATCTTGTACATGTCGTGCGATCATAACTTAAGGTATTTAATTAGCGATGTAAGTTCGATATTCTAAATCAGGCGTGTCACGCTCAGTATTGTCCAAGGACCAATTAGCATTTTGCTACGAACGAGAACCTGAAATTGAATACATAAATGAATCTTGAATTTTGCAACCGTTCGTAACTTAAAATTGGATAAAGAAATGAATCTTGTGCTATAAGTTATGTAACCATAATTTAAGGTATATGAATAACGATGTAAGTTAGATATTCTAAACCCGCATTCGCGTTCATTTTTACCCAAGGACCAGGTAGCATTTTCCTACCAATGATAACTTAAAATTGAGTAAATAAATGAATCTTGTACGTGTCATGCGTCCATAACTTAAGATATTTAATTAGCGATGTAAATTCGATACTCTAAACCGGCCATGTCACGGTCATTTTTGCCCAAGGACCAATTAGCATTTCGATACCTTGTACTCGTATATGTATAATTGTTCCAAAGATATTTGAAACCAATAAGACATACTGTTTGTCGGTCCCGAATTAATATTATTTATTACAACCAGACAGCGGTTATTTATCCATTTATAACAAATGTAAATATTCAAATGTGTACAAGGATGCGTACAAATGCATAAATATATAAAATATAAATGCTAAAATACACGTAACAACATTTAGAGGACAAAACATACTTTAATTTAAGTTTATGTTCTTCATCTGTATCTGTCAAGGTACACGAATTTGTATAAACATCCGCACTGTAATTATAACTTTTCAATGTACCATTTCCATTCTTGAATTTAAATCATTCTTAGACCTATCGATGTTTCTATAAAATTTGAATAAAAACATCTCAAGTTTAGATACATAACTTGCATATTCCTTAGGAGAATTTTGTAAGAAATTATTTAATTCGTTAAAATAACATTGGTGCCCCGGAAATAATTTTTCTTTCAAGTGTTTATAAATATCTATTTTAGTATTTGAGGAGCCAAATATTTAATTAGTATTTACAGCCCCTGCTGGACCCCCCATCGCGTAATTCGTGCATGCTTGGATTCGGTGGTAGCATAGATTTAAGGGGCGTTTGAAAAGTATTGTTACTTTATATTAAAACTTTTAATCTGTAATGTAAAATGGTTTATTCAAACTTCTAAATATTAACATTTTACAAAATACTCTTAAAGAATACCTTTTCGTTTTCAAAGGCATCGATAATATAACAAACTGTCCACTATTGTAACGCTCGTATTGTACAATATGTAACTTTTAAACAGCTTACCTTGACACTGTGTTAATGACATTAATAATACAATGTGCAAACAATTCTCTGTGTCCTTGTATTGTAAGAGGCATATGCAGAAGTAACATGAGTTATAATTAAATTTGTATTATGATGGGTTAAAAAAAAATTATAAATAAGTAAATAAGTTATCATTTATTAGCGTTAATACATTCATAACACAGCTATATGAGTTTTAAATTAAGGATATAACAAGGATATAAGGTCATTTTTAAGCTAAAAACTTTGGGATTTAAAACTGTTAATATTTTATTTAAATCGGATTACACGTTTCTATCAACACGGCATTGCGGCTAACATAAAGACTAATTCAACACATGCTGATCTATTTCAATTCGTATTCTATTTTCGCAAACTGTGTACAACAAAATTTTTACCTTTTCGCTTATATAAAATTAATTACATTTATACGTCCATATAAATATTTCTTATTAATATTTTAACTTTTTTATCGAGTATTATTTATGAGTTTTACCGGACAAGATAACGATATGTTAGTTATGCAGTCTTTCTGAAAATAATTATGAAATTCTTAAGTACTGGAGTGTCGCCAATATTACAACACAAGCTTTTTGACTCGAAAAATGACACGCTATATTATTTTGTTAGATAATTTTGCTAGCCACTTTTAGAAAAATGAAGTCAACACGTCTTTGATACGGCAGTCCACGTAAAAATATAAACTTTTAGGCTCCATTACCCACGAAATTAAACTTTGTTGAAATATGTGTCAAAATTATTATTCATTAAATATTACTAACGTGATACATTGTTTCGAAAAATAAAACAATTATTTACTTTAATGTGTGACCAAAATAGAAAGGAAATGTTTAAAATGTATTAAGTAAAATACGATATTGAAACCCAAACACATTCTTTGTGGTATTATTTGCACGCATTATTACCTGGAGCCTAATGATTGGTGAAAATGCTTCCTCTGTCGTCATTCCCAAATAATAAACTGTGTATTTCGTTTGACAGACTTTACGTATACGTATATTTTCTACACTCCATACTGAAAACGTAGGTCAGATGTTATTTATAGCATTATGTTTTATTCTCATGGACGCTTTTGTAATGCAACCGCTTTGGTGATTTACATATACACACTTTATTTAAATCCTTGAAATGTGCCTAACAATGTTTAATTTTTTTTGCCTAGGATGGTAATATTGTTATTTGTTAAATTGTTTATTAATTAACTATTGGACGTACACAAAATTGGTTCTTTGTATAATAAATAAGAATAATAAATAAGATTTCTTAATTTATATATATAATTATACACTCAGTCACTGTGTTCATAGTTATTATAAATTTATTTGTAAAGTCAAAATACCATTACTTTATATTATTATATAAAGTTCAATTAAGATATCATAAGATGGGATTTCGGTCTTTATTGATAGGCAATATTTATTACAATGTGAAATACTGTGAAAAAGTACAATTTACAAGCAATGATCTTCATAATGAGTTGACTTTGAAAATCAGTATTCATAAAATTGTAATATTTATAAAGGATTAACTCATGTTATACAAATATTTACATACAAATATTGACTGAAATTAATACTTTAAAGTAAATCAATGTTTATATTGCACTTAAGCCCACCAAAAGCTGATTGAAAAACTTGGAGTTAAGGATGTCACATGATGCCACCATGTTGGAGGAATGTACAACATTTCCCCTGGTTTCAAATAACCAACTAAACCTTTAGCTTTAATAAAATTCGGCCACGTATTGTAATTTGGATTCATAGGATCTACTTGTGCAGTGTTGTTAAGCAACCTTGTATCATATGGATATAAATTAGGTGAATCCTTTGGATGATATAAAATGATCCTTTTATACCCAAATACCTAAAAGTTGACGAAATGCAATAATATTATATAATTACCATGACATATATCAAATATATTTGAAACTATAAATGAAAAATAATTTATATCTAAAAAATGATTTTTTTTAAATAATATTGCTCAATGTAATCAATGTTCATATTTATGGACTTTTAGTATGTAGTAAAGAATGAATTATCATACTTGACATAAAAGATTATTTTTTGGATCGAAATGCAAAGGAGAAACAGTTCCACTAGGTCCAAACCAAGCATTTATGTCTGGTGATTCCACTTCATCATTATCTGTAAAACTGCAATATTCAGGTACCATAAAATCATCTTTCAATTCAGGAATCTGGAATCATTATTATATATTTATTACTTAAATTCCAATTAAATAGATTATAAATTAAACAAAAATAAAAAATTTTACCTGTTCAAAAAGTTGATGTTGTGCCAAATAACCAACTTCATTACGTTTTTCTAATATATGTTTTTGTAAAAATTCAGAAAAACTAAGAAGCTGTTGTGTCCAATCATCATTAGTATAACGTGATCCAATCTCAATAGGTACTGTTCGATTGCCTGCTATGCTACTTAAATAATTCAAATCTTGCCATCGCTCTAAAGCTTTCCAGTGTTTAATGCAACCTATAGTTACAAATCACATACATTCATTCCTAAAGTAAATATGGATAATATATATAAATAATATAAAAATAATAATAAATTAGTAAAATTATATTACCTTTCAATAGTGCTGGAACTTTTGGCATAAATATTTCTCTATAAAACAACTCCATTGATGGTTCATTGTAGCAACAAATTTCACTGAATCCAGAAAGTGTAGAATCAAGCAGATTTTCAGAATTAATAACCAATTCTTTTAAAGTCGATGTTTCCAGAGATTTTGCTAAAAAAATAACATTAAAGATAGCAGTGCTAACATATAATGTAACAGTTTTACAAGTAAATTTATAATGTTGATTCCATCCTTTATTACCATACTTACAAGTGCAACATTTATTTAACTTTGCAGCAATTGTTGGTAATAAACAAGGCATATTTGGAAGTGGTGCTCCCAACAAAATACCTTTATCAATTTCTTGAACCATTACTTTTAATAAATTAATATTTTTTGTGACCTCATGGTCGTCATATTGAAACTCCAGTAATATTGTCTAAAATGTGTAACATTCATTGTTCTCTTAAAATGTATGTTGGAGTATGTATTTAAGAAAATACATGGTGTCTAATACCTTCAAAATTGTACATAATGAATAACAGTATCGATGGTTTATTGGAACAGACTGCCAATAACCTGAATTTAATATTTCCCATGTTCTGTCCAGGCAAGCTTCAATTAGAATTAATGAACTTTCTACCCACTTTTTTGATAAATCCCTTATGTGATAAAAATTGAAAATTATTGAAGTTATAGTTTCCAAAAAAATATCTGTGTACAATAATTGGGTACTTGATTTTGACTAATAACATTTAAGGTGAAACACTAAATCATAAACTATTTCTATAAAAAACATACTGTAAATAATCAATATTAACAACAGTACCAAATAATCTTAGAAGAAAAAAATGTTTATTATATTTATTAATTAATCATATTTTAGTTTTATTCCATATATTACACTTTATCCTTAAATTTAAAGGAGATATTGAAAAGTCCTGTTTATAATTATCTTTTGCATTTAAATATTATAATAAATTTCTATAATACCCAAAAACTTATATTTACATTTTGTTTTCATTGAAGCTTTTTAATCTGGTTATTATTGCTGTTAAATGTATTTTCATTTCCACGGGTAAACAATTCTGTGAATTTTCTATCAAGTCCCATGGAATAAGTTTGGAAATGCACATGGAATTATGCATTTTCTAAAAATGACATAGGTATTATAAATAAAAAATAAGTTAAAAAATATGTATTCAAATTATTTTACTCATATATAAATTGTTCTCTTATACATTGGTTTGCTTAAATATGGCCACTGTACAAATAGATAATCAGCTATATAATACAAAATTTTCCCACTTAAAGATAATGTTTTAACTCTGCAAAAACTTTCAACAAATACTATAATAGTTTGTTTCACATAGAATACTTTAAAGAGAAACGTTATGATACATAAGGGAACACAAGTGCCTGGGCCATTGCACAGAAGTAAATCTGGGCATTCTCTCCATAAAAGTGGAATTGACTCTAAAGTTGCATAAATAGTAGAAAAGAAAGATCTATAATATGGCTGATGAATGTTTCTGCTTCTACGAATTTTCATTATTTTATAGTCTGTATTATTCATTTCTAAGCTCTCCACTTTTTCTCTACTCATTGTATCTGATTCAGCGTACACATATATTCTTGGTGAGTAATTTTCAAAATTTAAACACTGAAGAATTCGTATCATTTCTGCAGTGTGTCCACCAGATCCTAATATTATTACTGTTTTAACAGGATGAACTCGAACTGTTTTTTGTTCTGTCTTATGAGTACAAAATATTATAAAACATATTCTTGTAACTATTATTAAGCAAGTAATTATACAAATGTAAATACAATATATTAAATACATTTTCTCGATCTAACCTGCAAAAATTACAATAAAAAGATAAAAGCTAACATCTCAATAATTAATTTACTTAGTTAATCGCTTGTTGTAAAAAGATATTAATTGACAGTTTTATATATACTTGTGCTTTGTTTACACAAACAAATTCTTCAATTAATATGTATAAACAGTACGACTAATTATTTACATAGTATGGATATATTATTATGTTTTTACCTGATACACTAATTGAACACTTCGTTGTAATTATGGAACAGTAATTCGTAGAATGTACAAATACATCGTTTAAAACTAAATTAACAGGTTAACTACCGCAAATCAGTGTTGCATCTGAGTTTGTGAGACATAAAAACACAGACACGGTATTTTTATAGAGGCGGACTCTTGGATCTTTCAGGTTCCTATTCTCACTGTGCATTCTCAATGAACTCCTATATCTCCCATGCTTGCCACTAGAGGGATATCTTTCCACAAGCAATCGATTCGTCTAAAATCCCTATCACTATAATGCTTGACCAATCTCCTAAATTATACCTGATGAGAGCACTGTTCTGTTCTGTACTGGTTGGCAACACCAAAGAGTATTAGAATACTCTTCTAATACTCTTTGGGTAACACTCCCTAAGAGTTCAATCCAGTTCAATCTCATACAAAAAATGTTTATCTCCTAATAACCCTTTGTGGTTCAACTTTTTTTATGTCAATATATTTTTGTAGTCTCACTCGACGTAAGCCTGTAAAGTTAAAATCTGATTTGTATAACATATTGTAATTTATATCATTCCAAATTCGCCAACATTATATGTACTTTTTGAAAGTATATTCGATACAAATTTATTTAATCATAGAAATGATAAATTACGTTAAAAATCCAAACTTTTCTTGCAAAAATATATTAACAGAATTTAGATGTTATAGTCATAACTTTGTGTAATTGAATGATATTTAAATCTAGATTTAAAAGAATACAATGTACATCCATGAAATTCGAAACATAAAAATCAATAAACGAAAAGTTAGTTATTTTGCTTACACTTTATTTGACAAGTCAGATAAAATTAGATTTCACCGTAATATTTCATTTACATAAATTATCATATTCCAATTTTTGAACATCACTTAACAGTAATGTCACAACAACACTAATGTTACAATAATTTGCAATTTACTACCACTAACACAATGCATATACATAAAGCACAATATTTGCATGGTTTGATATTAATTGGTGTAATCACGTTTTAATTCCGAAAACATCAATTTCTAAAAGTTGAAATTATCAGTTCACGATTAAATTAAAAATGTTAAAAGCAGAAGTAAAAAATATAAATTATATAAAATTCATGTACAAACAAATATTCATTGTAGCTATTAAATGCATGGCAGATTAATTAACTTTATATGATGCTTTATTATTAATGTTACTGTACTGATTATATTTGAAATATGGTTACATACTTATTCAACGCGTTTTCAGTTAAAAGAGAAATTTCACATTTCAAAGTATAATGTGTACATCAATATATTTAATCCATAATACCCTATGTAAGTAAATGCGAATTTAAAACAAACATAGACTTGTGAAGCAATGGTGTAATGAATATGTGCGAATGATACATTTGTTATGTCGGCTGTACGAGTCTGATTCGCTCACACATATTTTATAATGGATAGATAAATAAAATAGTCTCGCAATGGCTCACTCATTAAGAAATCATTTGCCATATATACATAATTTACTACAAAACATTTTTCAGAAATTCGAGCAGTTTTTAAATGTATACATATTACGGGAAAGTTTTAATAATAATTTTGGAAGTAGATGTTTTGTTTAAGAGTTACAAAAAGCCTTGAATGAACATGCGAAGAACCCGTTAGTTATGTTTTTTCAATATATTGTTTCAAAAATCAAACACAAAAAATCTCACAATACTAAGCACTAATATTTTATTCCCAATGAAACACATAAATACACACCAAGGAGGTGAAACGTATTTTCATAGTTCGTTTTATTAACAAGATATAAAATTATACGAAATGTTCCATAATCATTCAGAATAATTTATGCAAGCATATAAATAAATTGATTATTATTATTAACCCACCAATTAGAAGAAATTAAAAACTTAATTGATTTACAAAACTTCTAGACCGAATCATGCAATTTGGTAATTATTTTCGAAAATATCTCCTTCATTTCTGGACCGCTCAAAATTGCCTGTAAATACAAATAAAGAAACTGTGAGAACTTCCTCGATAACATGTGCAGTTCGTATAACTTGTTTCCGATCTGATCTGGTGATGATAATTTAATGCATTAGTTTGTATACCATTTTTTGGTTTATTTCTTCGGGTTATCATTATGAAATTACAGTAATATGTATTTGACATCGAGCATAATTAATGAATGTAATAACAAAAACCACAATTAAAAGGTCAAACACTTTATTTCTTAATGAAGGTATGTACTTGGGATTTGGGATATACACAAATTCATATCATCTAAGTTTGAATGTACATCTCCTTCGACAACGTTTGTGATTAAAGTACCCCTTCCAATACCCAACTAAACCTCTGCCTAGACAAACACGTTGTAATCGCGGTTGTAGAAGCGTTGAAGGACTACGGAATATGAAATGAATCATCCAATTGAAGAAGGCGCGCAGCAAAGTAGGTGAAATGAGATGAGTCAAAATAAAAGACTTGAAATTCATAACAAAATTACGACACGGGGGATAATAAAATAGTGGGTGCATCTAGACAATATAAAATTTCCGACTTTGGGAGAGCAAGAGGTAAAGAAACGTATTGGCTGAAATCCCTCGCTTCACGCTTTTTTCTTTATCGCCTTGCACTAGTAATAACCACAAAGATTGTATTATTAATGTAATATTAATGCTACTAATCTGAAATTACAGCAATTTCGGTATTTATAGTTATAGTGATAGGGTTATCAGCGAATATCGATAGTTCTATAGTAGAAATAGCGGGATAAAGGAGTAATAATAAATATAGAATGAGAAAAAAGCGTAAGAGTATACACCAGTAACGGTAATAACAATAAAAGCAATAGTGGTAGAAATAGTGGTATAGTAGTATCCGTAATGATAAATGTATTAATTATAATGTAATAGTATTAATTTCTCTAGTGTAGCAAATAACTATTCCTGTAATCTACTGTTATAGAATGAAATTGAGATGAGAACGTTGGAATATTTTGGTAAATCGCGTTTACATAAGCGATTATAGTTCACCAACTCACTCTATATATACTCACACACCATGAGAGATCAGCTGAGAGCTCCGTATTTCACTTACTTTTATTTCTTTTTTTTTAATTATAATGAATTATAGCCAATAGCCAGATTTAAATTAAATCTGCGACATTCAATGGCATTTCAAGAATCATAGTGTTATAGAAATGTTCAATATCCTTCAAGGCCCGTTTGTCGTCCTCAGTTACGAAGTTAATAGCCACTCCTTTGCGGCCGAAACGACCACCTCGTCCGATTCTGTAACACAATTCAAAGCATTTTTATTTCTACGGGTACATTACATTTAATGATAGTTATTGTTTCTTAACAATAATTGTCAAGTATCATGATACATTTAAAATAATGGCACACTCACCTGTGAATGTAATTTTCACGATTGGAAGGTAAATCATAGTTGATGACGAGTGAGACCTGTTGAACGTCGATACCACGTGCTAATAAGTCAGTAGTTATGAGGACACGAGATGATCCGGTTCTGAACTGTCTCATGATGAGGTCTCGTTCCTTTTGTTCCATATCTCCATGCATGGCGGAGACCGTAAAGTCCTTGCTGTGCATATTCTCCGTTAACCAATCTACTTTGCGCCGGGTATTGCAGAAAATAACTGCCTGCGTAATACTCAAGGTATCGTATAAGTCGCAAAGAGTCTCAAATTTCCAATCTTCGCGTTCGACATAGATGAAGAACTGTTTAATACCCTCCAACGTGAGCTCTTCCCTTTTAACCAAAATACGAATCGGATTTCGCATGAAACATGTTGATACGTCCAAGACATCTGATGGCATGGTAGCAGACAACAGTATGACCTGAAAAGTAAAGATTTCTTACATTATATCATGAAACTTTAAGTAAGTTGTAAGTATGTAAGTATGTTTTATATTTCGAGATTACTTCGTTAGAAACCAAGTTTCATTGCTGAAGTCAAATATTGGGTTACGAATTCTTCGTACCTGCACTTCGTGAGGTAATAATTTGAATACATCGTGAATTTGATCCTTGAAACCACGAGAGAGCATTTCGTCGGCCTCGTCCAGTACAAACAGTTTGATACCGGTGGCCCGCAATGCTCGTCGACTAATCATATCGTAAACTCTACCCGGTGTTCCGACTACTATGTGAACACCTTGATCCAATTTCCGCATATCTTCACGTACATTGGTACCGCCAATGCACGCGTGGCATTCTGCGTGCATAAAATCTCCCAAAGCGATAACAACTTTTTGAATCTAGAAACGAAATACCTTGGATGAAACTTCATTTGCTTTATATAGGTACCAATTATTTCTACAAATGAATAACTATGTACCTGTTGAGCAAGTTCGCGAGTCGGCGCTAGGATCAAGGCTTGACATTCCTTGAGACTGGTATCAATTTGTTGTAGAATGGAAATGGAAAATGTAGCAGTCTTCCCAGTTCCTATTAAACATTACATGGATTAGGAGTTAAGCTTTTCCTTAAAAAGAAATGTATTCTTCAATTTTTATACCTGATTGTGCTTGTGCAATTACATCATGTCCTTTTATACACGGAAGAATGGCACGTTGCTGAATTGCAGATGGTTTTTCAAAGCCATAGGCGTAAATACCACGCAGTAACTCTTCCTTTAAGTGCATTTCATCAAAGTTGTCTACGACCTAATTTAAATACAAAGAAATTCATCAAGTGCAATGCATTAGGCGAATCAAAGATTACCATTCAACATAGTTGTATTATTGTTTGTGATCAGAAACACTACTTTCTTTTCAAATAAAGTATAGAAGCAGTAAACATTGATAATTAAAACAAAAATTGTAAATCATTTACATTTTGTTTAATCAGAACACAAAATTTACTTACAACTTCCCAGTTGGACTCAATGATCCCATCCGGATCCATGCCGGAAGGGCCATCATGCGACAACTCTTCACTTTCACTAGGACCATTTTTGGAGTCCTCTTGCCATTCGTCATCGCTTCTGGAATGTAAATAAAATAAAGCAATACAATTTTGAAATATTTCATAATATTTAACGATAAAGTATATAATTTATATTTTACTGATCATATTCTACTCTTCTAATAAAAGTACATTGCTATTTAAATCTTTATTGCTTATTTATGCATTGTATAAGCGTGCAATGTCACAACAAATGCAGAATTCTATCAAATAAAAATTATTATCACGTCAACGACCTTGAAAGATATAATTCATCATTATAAAATTTCTAGTGTACTTAACATCAAAATATTTCTAGCTTTAATTTAATAACAAATAATTTTTTATGGGCATAACCGTGTGCTCCGTATGAGAAACCGTTAAAGAGGTATGATAATGAATTCATCGACGATTTGATACATGCATTGACAGTGACTCACGCGAAAGGATGCCTGAACGGGTAAGGCGCGTTTCAATTAAAGAGAAAGATCTACATTGAGAATTTCGTACGGTATTTCAAGTTCTACATTTTCGTTTTGTTTCTCTCGCGGAATTTCTATAAAAATTCATCTTTTATTACGTAATTTCCAATCTATAAAATAAAACGTGTTTGCAAGTCGGAGTAATGTGCTGTTTTTTTTTTTTTAATCAAAATTGAAATACATTTGGCCTGGATATTTAATAAACAATTAATTCTGGAAACTACGTCATAACGACACAGAAATTATAAATGTTTATAGAGACACGAGGATTGATTTTAGTTCTTCGAACAATGTGACAAAAACGAATGCACGCCATGTTGTCAGTCTCATGTCCATGCAGTCGTCGATTTCGGCACTATTTTTTAAGAATATACCGTTGACTGTAAACGTTCGATTTTGCACTACAAGAGATTTGGAGAAACACAAGGTAAACGAAGAATTTGCAAAACACGAGAAAGCAAACATTTTTAGCGATTACATGTGAAAAACTGAACTTACCTTCGCTCAAACGTATGCGACATGTTTCACTCACGGTAGGTCGACGGAAAGGACGAGTTCCTATTGCGTCACAAGGAATATTCTAGTAAGTGCCACACTATGGCGCTGCGAACGGTTTTGAAAATTTCAGTAACCTATCCAAATAATTCGACTCGTTGGATGCACTAAAAACGGTAATCAAAGACTTCAGGTTACAAGCTTTTACACGTATGCGTCCACTTTCTCGTAATTCGTTGAGTTTCACGATATTTCCCTTTAAAAATGGTTATTGCGCATAAGGGAAGTGCGTCAATTACCCATAATCCTTTGCGAGTTTTTAGTGGGGTATGTGAGGCAAATGCAAACACATAATTGAGCATGGCCAAACGTTTATTTCTACTTTTAATTCTCTTGAATTAATCTGTACGTTTCTGTACTCTATTAACGATGTTCATACCTCTCCTTTTTATTTCTTGCATTACTATAACACGTGATTCCGTACAATGTTGTATAGAAATGTATTTTAAGTATTTTGTGCAAATTTAAAAATGTTTATTTTATGCTTTTTAATAGATGTAAATGTTAAAAAACATTTATTTATACATTTTAATTCAGTAGGGAAATCTAAAAGTAAAATAACTCTAATAATCTATGTAAGAAATATAACATTTTATTCTTTAATTATATGTACATAAATATAACTTGATCTATAATTTTAAAAAGCAAGATATGCTAAGTCTAAATTATTAAAATTTAGACCATGGAATGTAATTAAGCATACTTAAATTCAATCATAAAATGGTCATTATTGTATCATAACTTCTATCAATACCTTATGCCTTATAAGTACAAAATTGGTCAAATATACATTATTATTCTACAATATTATACATATTCTACAAAACATTCTACATTATCTCATAGAATATATGTACATATGATATTTTACATTTGTTTCTTGCATACATAGTATGTGATAAATGCAATCTCTTCTTATATTAAAATAGAATTACATAAAAGCACAAGTAAGAATACAGAATAATACTGCTATAGGAAAAAATATATATACTTCCATGCGTGGGTGACAGATTGATAAGAGTAAACCAACATCGTCTATTCTGTATTCTATACCATCCATAGTGGGTACTTCAACTATTACTTTGTGAGAAGATAATAAATCTACTGGAAAAGAACATTTTGTTTGATTTGTACAAGACTTTGTTACATTTTCAAATTGCAAAATAGGTTTATAAATATCAAATATCGCATGTACATCATTCGATACAATATCATTATCACTGTAAAAAATATAATAATAATAACCACTTTGTTCAATGTTTTGAATTGTTTGCATATGTTTTCCATTAAGTAAATACGTGATATTAATGCATTGTTCAGAAGGTGCAAATTCCTGTGCCACTAGAATTGAACCACCATAACATCTAAGTAACTCATTTTCAAAGCTAGATATAGAAGAATCGTCATTGGCATTTGTTATATTTTGAATAGCATTTCCACCATGTTTAATGCCTTGATCGAGTAGGAGTGGTGCTTCAACAAGTTCCAGGCTTCTTTTAATTTTTTTGTTTAACACTTTATCGTTCATTTTTAGTTTTTGTTTAATGTTATCTTCATCGGCTATTTTTAAATTGAATTTTCTTTCTTGTATATCCCAGTCCTGTTCTTTTTTCAAAGATTGCAATAAATTTTTTCTATTTTCTTTCATAAATTTTCTATATTGCTTTTGTTTGGGGTGCCTCAATTTTCTTGCAGTATATATAATTTTTTCTTCCAATGATCCTTTATTTTGTTGAGCAACATAATTGTTTTGTTCCTCTTTATGAATCTCTTTATTTTTTATATGTGTATCAGCATACATAATGTCTATATCAGTATCTCCTACAGTAACATTTTCCAACAATTTATCTTCTACATTATGTAATACATTTTTGTTAACTTGAACAATGCTATTGTTAGAAATAGCTTCTTCAAAATCGGTTTTAAACATTACTTTAACTTGACGTTCTGCTTCTGGCAAAAACACATTTTCTACAATTTGCTCATTGTTATTGTGTTCCAACATACCGCAAGTTCGTAAATTATGCTCTCCTTTTACGAGTAGTATAGAAGCTCCTTGAAACCTGTATAAACATTCGTTAAATATGAAAACAATTAGTATTATAAGAACTAGCAACAAATACCTTGAACAAACAGAAAGTGCTACGCTTGATCCTTCTAGAAGATAAAATCCCCAATATTCTAATGTATCATCTGGTAAAGTCATACTCTTTTTAAGACGTATATGTTTTTTATACGGAGTTCTTTCTGGATTTTGTGACATTTGAAATGCGTTAAATGTTCTATTCATTTGTAAAGTATGTTCCTGTATAAATGATAACAGTATTAATTTATATTTCAAAAATTGCATATACATAACTTTTTTAACTCTAACTATTGCATCATCTAAAACAAAAAGAGTATTTCATTTATATCAAATATTGAATTTTAATTATGCAATTAAATATGTAATAATATTAATTACATAATAAATACTCGTTCCTATTAACTAGACTTACAGAACAAAATATTGTAGAAATTTTATCAGTGATTTCCAAAATATCAGATTCGGTTACAGTGTATGCTACATTAGCATAGAAATGGTGACGTAAATATAAGGGTGTTACAAGAAGTATTACTGGTAAAATTGTTGTTAATATGCAAAAAACAAATATTCTTTTAATACCTCGCATTTTTATCTAAAATTGTGAAATGAAATTTTAGTTTATATTAACCATTAATAAACATCTATTATATTGTATTACAAGATTTTATTTTGAGAAGCAAAATATTTTTACAGGAAATAACAAACACTTGTAAATGCAAAATACAATAATAATATAATGTTGTAATTATTCAATATAATAATTATAGAAATAATGAATAATTATATTTTTTGTATTCACTCTTTATTCTAATACAGCTGTAACAGTTTGTATAAAATATCATATTCATATACTGGTAATTTTTGTACATATAAAAATTCAAAAGTTTCAAAAATGAAATGCTAACAGTTGTAAATCAATGTAGGTCTCATCTTGTAAATATAACTTTATAGAAATAAATTTTATATTTACTGTGGAATATTGAATTTGTAGTCTGGATTAGGCGCAGTTTCTAGTTAAACTTTGTGAACTGTTTAAAAAACTTATAAACCGGAAACACTTATCGTGATATTATCAACTATATTCTTTGTTAAATTCGATGTAGTTTCATTACAGAAATTATGTACGGATAGTTAAAAGAGGTTAGAAATTTTTGCAGTGATAAAAAATGGAAACATCAGTGCGATTATAATGTGTGGAAATTGATAAAAACCAACATTTGATTCTGATTCGTCCATTATTTTGATGTTTAGTGGGATTTTTTTTTGATATTCATTAACACATCACGCATGCGTTCCTTTTTTAAATGCGCAATGCTTTCAAGAAGTAAATATCCACATTTTGTATGCTTAAATTCCTTTCTCCTTTTCTCCTTTTCTCCTCAACGAAGCCTCGGACAACATTTTCGCTAAGGAAAAAGTTGTTTCAAATCACCCCCTGAACCATCCCTTTCAAGGTGTTACAACATTTTTGGGGCACCCTGTATATCAACTCGTATTGTGGCAATATGTCTTCTCGCGTTAGACTATCGTCTTTTTCGAGATTATTCACATTGATTTGTTCCTCAGATAGGGTACAAATATATATTAATTGCAAACATGATTTTAAATTTGTGTTCTTGTATGTTAAGGATTCTACGTAATCGATTCGCGCAGTTGCGACGCGATGACACGATGGTTCGAACTGTTATTTCAACGTTCGGAATTTCGACTGAAATTTCTGGTAACACATAACAGGTAATATTGTATTTAATTGTCAACATTGCAGAGATAAAATAGAAATGCATTAAATTGATTATATTTCCTTCCTTTTCTATAATATTTTTGTTGAATAAATTCAAACAAATTTTAACGCAATAAAATAATTTTTTGGAAAAAAAATTTAATCGACTTCAAAAACGGTACAGTGAAAAGTATAAAATAATTTCTAGTTAATGTATATGAATCTGCATTATCGACCGAGCACTCTACATTACCGACAGAGTAATCGGCATTATCGACCGAGCATTCTACATTACCGACAGCGTAATCGGCACTGTCGGATGTGCACTCTACTTTACCGACAGAGCAATCTGCATTATCGACCGAGCACTCAGCATTACCAGCAGAGTGATCGTCATTATCGACCGAGCATTCTACGATGCCGGCAGAGCAACCTGCATTATCGACTGAGCACTCTACATTACCGACAGAGCACTCTACATTACCGACAGAGCACTCTACATTACCAACAGAGCACTCTACATTACCGACAGAACAATATGCATTATCGACAGAGCAATCTGCATTATCCGAGCACTCTAATGCGGCCGATAATGCAGATTGCTCTGTCGGTAATGTAGATTGCTCGGCCGATAATGCCGAGTGCTCGGTCGGTAATGCAGAGTGCTATGCCGGTAATGCAGAGTGCTCTGTCGGTAATGCAGAGTGCTCTGTCGGTAATGTAGATTGCTCGGTCGGTAATGTCGAGTGCTCTGTCGATAATGCAGAGTGCTCGGCCGATAATGCAGAGTGCTCGGTCGGTAATGCAGATTGCTCGGTCGGTAATGTAGATTAGCTTACTCTGTCGATAATGTAAAGTGCTCTGCCGGTAATGCAGAGTGCTCTGTCGATAATGCAGATTAATCAGTCGATAATGCAGATTAATCAGTCGATAATGCAGATTACTCTGTCGATAATGCAGATTACTCTGTCGATAATGCAGATTATTCTGTCGGCAAAAGTCGAATGTAACTAGAAATTATATCACACTTCTCAGTACATTTTCTCATACTTTTAAGCATCTATATCTGGATCTAGTGCGCATTCATATACATTAACTAGGAATTATTTCATGCTTTTCATTGCATTTTCCCATACTTTTAAGCAATTATATCTAGAGCTAGTGCGTATTCATATACACGGTCGGTAATGTCGAGTGCTCTGTCGGTAATGCAGAGTGCTCTGTCGGTAATGTAGAGTGCTCTGTCGGTAATGTAGATTGCTCTGTCGATAATGCAGAGTGCTCGGCCGATAATGCAGAGTGCTC